GGGCATCCGTCAAAAGATCAGATAACATACTTGTATAGTATATTGATAATGTTTGTACGTGTAGATCTTGTGTTTTTATAATCTCTAAATTTGAGTTTGTAAACTCATGGAACAGATGTGTGAGACAGATCTTCTCCCCCCTAACCAGCTTAATTGGAAGAACCTATTTTTCAAGATGGGAATTGAAAGGGAGAATTATGTTTACAAACAGACACTTTCAAAGTTATGAAAATAGTTACTAATGAAGAGATGACTGAATAGTTTGGAAATATCGGTTCAGCTATGGTACATGTGTGATAACATTTTGTATTTTTTATTAGGTGTCTTCTTATTCATGAAACTATACACATTTTGTAAACTATTTTAACATTTTTTTTTTGTTTTGATATAGGATGAAAGTCAGAATGCTTATGGACCAGACATGTCAGCCCCATCAGATGCACCATAGGTTAGATTTAACTTGAATCTAACTCAATAAGAAATGTGGTTATGCTCTGCTATCCATCCTTCTAACTATAATTATTTCTATCCATTCAGGGATCCCAAATGTTAACAGAATCATCATCCCGACACTCTAGATTCATTTCTCTGACACCGGCTAAGCGTGGGCACCAATCATTAATTTGGAGGAGTATTTTGATCAGAATTCCGTGACAAGGCAAGAATGTACTATCAGGATTAAGAAGGAGAATGTACTATCAGGCTACTGTACTATTCCAGGGGTTTGGATCAAAGAACTCTTTTCTAGGGGTCTTCTGAAGGTTGATATAAGGAAGGCTTTCGACTCTGTAAGCTGGCCTTTCATCCTATAAGTTCTCCAAGCTGCTGATTTCTGAGATGTCTTAATCACTTGGATCAGAAACTGTGTTACGACTACGTCTTTCTCTATAAATGTCAAGGGCGAGCTCTGTGGGTGCTTCAACGGTGGCTGCGGACTAAGGCAGGGGGATCCTATCAGCCCAGCGTTTTTCATCATTGCGATGGAGGTATTCTCATCTCTACTAACAGAAAAGTTTGGTATAGCAGAGACTCTTGATGAATTTTGCCTCATGTCTGGTCTGGGATTGAATAGGGAAAAGACTGCATTGTTCCATGCGGGTATGGATGACACGGAAGTAACAACCCTGAACGCTAGTGGATATCATTTTGGGAACTCTCCCTATAAGATATTTGGGCCTGCTCCTTCATCACAGGCACCTTAAAAAGTCTGAATACTCTCCCCTTCTGGACAACATAAAGAAACGTATTCAAAGCAGGAAAGTGAGATTGTTGAGCTATGTGGGAAGGCTGCAACTTATTAAATCAATAATAAACAGCTTAATTAACTTCTGGCTCTCTGATTTTGTTCTCCCAAAGGGTTGCATAAAGGAGATTGAGAAACTTTGTAGGGACTACTTGTGGTCCACAAACCCGGACACCAGAGGAAACGCTAAGGTCTCATGGTATGAATTTTGTCTACCGAAAGGCGAGGGCGGAATCGGCTTGAGGAATCTGTTTCTTTGGAACAAGGCCCTCACTCTCTGACTGGTATGGTTACAATTTTCTGGCAGCAATTCTCTTTGGGTCGCTTGGAATAAAGAACACCATCTGAAAAGGTGTACTTACTGGTATGCAGAATCTCATCCAAGCCACTCTTGGATTTGGAAATTTCTGATATTTGTTCATTCTCTGGCTCGTCAACTGATTGGCTGTAACGTAGGGAATGGACTTCAATATAGCTACTAGTTTGACGATTGGATACCTCATGGTCCTCTCATTGACTTCGTAGGTGTGCATGACCCTTGCAGGCTTGGCATCCCTGTAACAGCCACTGTTAGGGAGGGAACTCGTCAAGAGGAGAATGGATCCTTCCATCTTATCTCTGTCGCACGCCTTCCCTTGCTTCCTTGAGATATACTTTGCTGGAGATCCTTCCACCAAAAAAGAATGACAACGCTGATGCTTAATGTTGGGGACCTCTTGGTAAAAGAGACCTTAAGTTCTCAATTAAAAAACTTGGGAACTTATGAGACAAACTGCACCTCTAGTATACTGGGAAAAGGCTGTTTGGTTCAAACACGCCATTCCTAAGCATGTGTTTAACTTCTGGGTGGCAAACCTAAATCGCCTACCGGTAAGAGAAAGGTTAGCAAACTGGGGTTTATGTGATCAGCAAACTTGTTGTTTGTGTGGACTTGGACAGGAATCTTGTGACCATGTGTTCCTGCAATGCAGCATTGCAACTCAATTATGGGACATCATTTTACCTCGCCTTGGCCAGCGAAATCTGACCCTCAACAACTGACTGTCCTAATCAATTGGATGCTCGCAGATACGCCAGGCCTCTCAGCAACGCTGAAGAAGCTTCTTCTTCAAGCAGTCATCTTCCACCTCTGGAGAGAAAGGAACAGCAGACTCCACAATGATCCCCCAGACTCCACACCTGGCTTGTTTAGTAAGATCGACAGAACATTGTGAGACTCTCTCTTTTCTCGCTTACCCCATAAGCGTTGCCAAGGACTATTATCTCAGTGGTTTAGGTTCCCCTAGATCATTTTGTCAAATTCATAGTTTGCCTATAGTTCCATCTTGGTTTTTTATTTTATTTTTGAGTTATATGCAACTTCTTGCGTTAAAGCCTTTGTAAATCAACTCTTGTTCCAATTTGGTATAATATTCACATTTTATCAAAAACCAAAAATTGTATGAAAATTTTGAGTTTTTATTTGGTTTACTGCAGTGATGACCGCCTCACAGTTTATATATGGGGTAAATATGTTGAGGTTATTAGTGATACTATTCATGACTGTCACCTGCAGAAGTCTGTGATATGCGTTGTGTGATTTGGAAGATCAGTGTATTCAAAGGTAAGCATATATTGTTTGGCAATTACCATTACGTCTAACATATTTCTGTTGTTTACCTAATTGTTTTTGGGTTCATCTGATCCTTACTTTGCTGCTTTAGTTATGTGACCAGCAGATCGTAGTGTATCTAACACATACTATGTTACTGATGCTTTCCTCAATCCTGATATAGTAGAGGTAGAAGCTTTCTCAAAATTATAAGATATTCAACTAATGCAAAATAAATTACAAAATATATGTTAGTCCTGCGCTTTTGTGATGATATTTTTTTCTATGAAATTATAAAAATAATTCCGAAGAATGACTTGATATAGTATTGATGGAGTCGAAGCCTATTTGTTTGATTTCAGAAATATTTGAAAAGTATGGATATTTTCATACTACCTCTAAGAAATTACTTATTGAAATGTTGGAGACAAAACAAGTAAAGAATATAATAAATGTATAAGTTATATCGTAAGGTTGTTTCCAAAATCTTTTTGAACACCCTGCTTTTTGGATATACAGGTAGAGAGTTGTATTGTTATGTGTACCATTTATGCCTTTGATTATGATATGGGATGGTACGATCTGAGTTGCAAACTCAGTCAACAAGTATTTTTTTTGCCTAGCGACAAAAGGGTTTATGGAAATTATGTTATCCAAGTTTTACATAATTACTATTGTACCAAGTGTAAAACCTATCGGCCATAAATTTTGCCAAGGTAAGTATTATATTGATTTATGAATATTTTAGTCTCTTAGACTCGACAAAAGTATGTTCAAAATGTATGAGCGAGTCATTTCTGTCCATATAGGTACAATTTACAATTGGTGTTCCTTGAAAATACTAGCAAAGTTTCTTCTGGTTGACAACCTAGCAGAAGAACTATTACGCTCCCATGCGTTGTCTTAACCGGTTCAGTCACTGACTAGGTAATAGCTAACAACTTAATATTTTGTAAACTATGAATTTTATCAGTAATAATTTGGTAAGTTTATATTCTTTGCTATTTCTCTTTATAGGATTGCAAACAAAGAGTTCTGATGAGATTTTTTTACAGCAAATGTGTAATATTGCCTATGTTTCATTTCTAAATTCTATATTTTATTACTTTATTGCCTATGTTTCGTTTTATCTTATGAAAGCAATAATTCGATTGTTTATTTTCGTTTTATCTTAAGTTGATAACTAAGTTTATATAAATCTTTGCTTACTCTATAGATTTACTTTCATGGACTAAATTTCGATTACACCTAACCAATAACACAATCTAAAAAAAATTGTAATTTACCGTATATAAACATAATCAATTTAATTAAAATTTTCATTATATAACATGTAATATATGTAACCCGCACTTTTACGTACCTTTCGAATATCTACAGATTAAAAATTAAAATCACTTTTAATCTATTAACTCCATGCAGGGCGCTGATCATCACTTAGTGATTAGTTCACATAGGCCTGGGCATTTTACCCGTACCCGAAGACCCGACCCGAAACCGACCCGAAAAAACCCAGTCCGTGTAGGAACCGGCCCGAATAAATTACCCTATCGGGTCTTGTTGTAGAGGACCCGCGGGTCTTGGACCCGACCCGGACCGAACCCGAAACCCGAAGGGTACCCGAATTAATAGTGTAAATTAAATAAAATGCATTGAGGGGAAGTCGAAGACGGGTTGTTTCTATAGAGAGTAAGGAGGTAAACCACTAGGAGACAACAAATTGTTGTTGTATCTCGCATAGTTTAATATATATACACATTTTAATATAATAAAAACACAAATTTTGAATAAAATTTTGAATAATTTCGGATATATAAATATTTTCAGATATTTTTTTATATTTTTAGGTATTTTTTAGGTCGAACCCGAACAGAACCCGACCCGGAACCGAACCGAATCCGAACCGATAAATTCTAATTACCCGAATGGGTCCAACTATCTAAGACCCGACCCGGACCCGGTACGACCCGAACCGAACCGGAACCAAAAATTTAAAATTACCCTATCGGGTCCTAAACTCCTAAACCCGAAAGACCCGGACCCGAAAGGACCCGACCCGAACCCGACCCGACTACCCGAATACCCGAATACCCAGGTCTAAGTCACATTAGTGATAAAATAGTAAACTAAGGTGACAACAATTTTTTTTTCTTCATCTTTGTTTTCTTTTTATTGAGTCGACTTAAGTTTACCATATAGTAATATAAAGAATGTTGTGCATATGTAAAACTGATAATGTAACATAGACCATGTTAAAACAAAAATAAGCTTACATGTCTTTATCTAGAGTTGGCATCAATAAAGTTAGTATCTATAAACTAGAGTTTATTATTGAAAGTGATTTGATGGATGACTCTTTTGACCTCAGCAATGCTTGGTTTCTTCCCTCTCACTTTCGCCCTTATCTCTGCCTCAAATACATGGTCGTTCACGGCGTTGTGAACTGCGGTAGTCTCTATACCGAGCTCCTTAAGTACCTGAAGAATGTCGAGCAATAAACTATCTCGGTACTCGCATCTCATCTCTAATAAAACATCGCTCTCTATGATGGAAACTTCTACTTCTTCCCAAGTTCTTCCCTTCCCGCTACATATCCGCTTATGTTTTGGCTCGTGATGAGTAGACTCCAGCTCATGGATCCTCTTACAAAGTTGGTTTACGTACTCAATGGTGTCTCCAAGGATCGAGACTTTGTCCATCTTGGTCACAAATGGAACCAATGATCTCAACGTTATGAATCTTTCATTTAGTTTCTCTCTCCTGCGTCGCTCGGCCGCCACATGGTTAAGCTCTTCCCGTGGCAGCCTCTTATTTTTAGTGTTGTCGTGGAGGAAAGGAACTCTCATGATTATGTGTTTGAGCATCCATTGCGACGACGAGGACGATGCTTTGTCGCTTAGCTGATATTGCTGATGCTCTTTGACATCCTCAACTCTCCACGAGGCAAACGATGATTGGACGTAAGAAGATGTGGAAACTGTATCTGAAAGAAGACTGGTAGGTTGTGACATGAGAATTGTTGTTACTGTAAGAGAATAATTTCCGCCTTCCTCCATGAGATTCATCATGTCCATGTGTGTATCTATATGCACAATGATAGATTTTAGAATTACCAAAATGAAAACGTTTTTAAAATTGTATTGCTCGAAACTTAATTATAATGATAGTGTTACCTAATTTAATGTAATAAGAAAGGTGTACGGTATACCTAAACTATTGGTTGCTTCTATGTGAAAATCAGAGAGTAGATTTTGATTGGAAACGTCATCCTCATCAGGAGAACCAAGTCTTATCTCTTCTGACATTGTCATTTCTTCTTCTACTTCTTCTTCTTCTTCGTCTTGATGCTCTTCGTTGATGGAGTGTGCAAAAAGAGCAGGCTTAGTGTTTGACTTCGGGTGGTTGTGGAAGAAACTCTTTATGTGTTCAACAAACGCTTCACTTTCTTTTACCTTCACATACAAACACAACATATCATGCATCCATCTCCTTGGTTCTCCCTCTCATGATTATTTTTGTTTAGGTTGAGTGTATATTTCTACATTATTTGGTTGTCTATATAATGTATCACAAAACTATGTTTTCTGTATATTATTTTTCTTTATTTCTCGAAGTAACATAGAATGAGCTGAATATGTTAGTTTACATTTTTCAACCAACGGACTGACTTATAAAACTGAGCACGATATAATTTCGTCTAATATAAATAGAGATTACCTTGTTCGTTGTGCCTAGTTCCAAAACGCCATCAAGCACTGGAATGCAAACCACTGTCTGTTTTTATGTTTATTTTTCATCACAAAACAATTCTCAAACATGTAAAATAACTTTATTGATGCCTTTCATATATACAACCAAATAAAGAACTAATAACGGCAACACTTACCTGAACTTTGGCACTCTAATCGATGGAGAAAGAGAATCCAAGTAAAGAAGATAAAATTAATAAGTTTGAAGAAACAGTATATAAAATTGCGTGTATCTAAATAGGATCAAAGAATAAAAGGAAATAAACCTTAGCAAGAATAGCCCTACAGAAGATTTTACAGTCAACCTCATTCGCACCACTTAGCCATACGTGCTTCCTCCTTGCATACGCCTTTCCTGGCATCCTACAAATTAATACTTCTACATTCATATTTTGATTTTTTTTTTCCTCCATAGAGAAAAAACTATAACTAACACACTTTGTTATGCATTTATGTATCATCTTTAGATGCTTCTACTTTAGATAATCAATAAACAAACCCATAAGAATCTCAACGGTCCAATTATATTCAGCAAACTGAAGTGTACGTTTTCACACACTCCAATACATTTCTTCTTTCAGTAACTTAAACTTCCCAGTTTGTCTTTAATGCTTCCATAATATTTGTGATTCGTATTCAACACACAATACTATTTTTGTCTTCACTAAGAGAAGATGAAAAAGACAAATTGAGTAGTCTTTTTGAAAGGGAAAAAAACTTTGAAGAGAGAGAGAGAGAGAGAGAGAGAGTTGTTGTACCCAGAAGGAGGAGCGAAAGAGTAAGAGGAGATACTAATCACATAAAACCATTCAGTCTCCGTCAAATCCTCCGGCGACAATGCTGTGCAAGCCCTCGCTTCCATCGATGAATCTCTGGCCAAAAGCGTCTCGCAAAGCTCCCTCAGCTGTTGGCTTCTCTCCGACGCAGCCTCTTCCGCCGTAACTTCCGCCGGCTGAGTTGTTTTTCTTGTCTTTATTGCACCGTTGTAGTATCCACTACCCCACACCAATTCCCTAATCGATTTAACATTTAGGTACTTGTGCATTTTATAATAAGGATAAAGTTGTTGTGCTTTATATATTGTGAGAAATGGATGAAAGGAAAAGAGAACCTTTGTTGTGGACAAAGTTGCCAGAAGAGACTATAAGTCCACTCCACAGATTGCATCACCGCCTTAAGCAGCCCTTCAAGCTCTCTTTTCTCAGCTCCGATCACTTTCTCTACCGGTACAATACTTGATCCATCCATCTTTCCCGAAGATGAAAACATGTTTTAGCTCTCTATGTTTCTACTGAAGAGAGTAAGATCTTGCAAGTTTCAAGGGGTTTTGATATGAAAGAGGAAGATATTCTTTACGCTGATTTAACTTGGTTTTGGACCACGGTTAATTGAATACTAGATTTTGAACCCGCACATCCGTGCGGGTATATTTTTCATTTTATAAAAATATAACAAAACCTTTCAAATATATATGATTTACATTCTATTGTTATATATTGTATAATTTTATAATCTTATAATTTTAAATATTTTTATATAATATATTGTTGTAAGTTTTAAAATAAAAAAATATTCATATTTTTTTATATATATTTGTTGTGAATTACAAAAATATATGTTAACATTTTTGTATAAAAATATTATATGATTTAAAAACTTTAATATGTTTTAAAAGTGAGTGATATTTATTTATTTATTTGAATAAAACAAATTTTTTAAAATAAAATATTTTCCTTTACCAATTTAATATATTTTATATTCATTTCACATAGCATTTTATTTTAATATAGTGTAGAATATAAGTAAATTATGAAATATAACAGTTTTTATTTTAATTAAAATTAATATCAATATTTATATATATATATATTAATCACGAAATTAAATAATGCATATTTTTAAAAAATATTTAAACTTCTTAGTAAGATCTTGTTAGATATTTTCTCAACAAATTTATTACTAATATCTTATTATTATTAAAATATTGCTCCAATTATATATATTTAATTGATTAATATAAATACTTAAATATGTCATATTAATGAGATGGTCCAACATAACTTTTTGTAGTAGATATAAATGGTACTTCTCTTTTAATAGAGAAGATGTATGTATATGTATATATATACCATTTTAGTGTTTTCGTAAGATGCTGACATAAGTAAAGTAATGTAGATTAATTCTATGTATGGGGTATAAATGCATGTTCAAAAACTCAAGATGTTGTAAAAGTTGACTTTTATGGGTTTTGACTGGTTGGTCCACCAGACGTCGGATGAGGGTAGGATACGTCTTGTAATCGTGTCCTCCTCTGATTGGCGAATCAAAATGAAGAATGCATTTTTCTTTTTTGTTTTTTGTTTTTTGTTTTTGTGAAAGAGAGAATGCATATTTCTTAAAATGTTATAATATTTTATTGGGAAAAAGCATAACATATTTCAGTAGAGAAAATAGCTAACTGACACACAAGAGAAAACAGGCATTGCTTTGACTTGTGTTACTACTATGCGGGTTTCACATCTTTCTCTTTCTCTTTCTCATTATTTTCTCTTATTTGGAAATTTGCAGTATTCTAATGTTCATCAACCAATTTAAAAGAGTGACATCATTAATTTTATTTAAATGAAAGGAGAAAAAGAGGATGGGGAATGGTAGAATTGTTGACCTGACCGGTAAGTAGAGAAAAGAAAGTGGTTTGGTGTAATAAAGGAGGAGAATGAGATGTTTCACGATTCAAGTTTTAATAATTGATGTTAATTGTTAGCCAAAGAGCCACCATGTGTTTCCTTGTATTAATATTTTACTAAATTTTGATCCTCACTTAAATATGTAGAACTATTTTTTTATAAGTTTACTTACTAAAAATTATAACTGCATTCATATTATATATTCAAATATTATATAATTTCTAATATGTATATATATTTATTTAATTAAGGATTTTTAAATTTAATTTTTGAATGTTAAGAAAATTTATAATGATTACACTATATAGATTTTCTTAACTTGATATTTAGCAATCATATGCAAATAATTTATGAGAAATGTCATTTTTAGTTTTGTAACATGTGTATAAGTTTATAATTCAGTCGTAAATTTGTGAAATAAATCAAAATTATTAACTTGAGATGTTATTATAATCATATTTTAAATTTATACAAAATACTTTTTAGTACAAACTAAAATAGTTTTATTCTATTATCTAACACGTACTATAACACAATCATAATTTAAAAGAGTATTTTATTTTAATAAAATAATAATTTTAAATTTAACATGTATTGGCGTTAATTTATTGAACCGGAATAATACATCTCTTAGATTTTTTTTGCAATGGTCAATATTTTTATTTGTAATTTTTAATATAAATGAGTTAATGTGTTTTTAAAATCATCTCACATCTTATTAATTTATTACATAACTGATAAAATAAACCGTAAAAGTTATATATTCCTAAAAGTATCAATTGTAACCTGTTTTACTATATTATAAAATAATATATATAGTAGTTATTCTTTAGTATTTTATTTTTATTAAGTACATATATTTATCTCATTTTAATTAATATCTAATTTCTATTCAAAATATTATTTTATCATTATTAGTAGGGGTTTTACAAATGTGACTCAGAACGAAAAATCAAATGCAAAAGTAACCAATGATTTTTTTTTTAATTTTTTATTTCCTCTTTTCACTCTGAAAGTTTGAATTATTTGCGAAAATACCATCATTATTATTTTATTTTTCATTTTACTCAATTATCCTCTTCTTTTATTTTATTGTCTTCAATACACCAACCACCATGAACAACCAATTGTAAACTCTAAATGCACCTCAAATCAATATCTTCATATTCATATTTCTTACACCCACATACCATTTCTCTTTCACTTCCTCTTTTATTTCATCACAGAATCTCAACTTTTCAAAATTTATAAACTTATTAGAGTTATTCAAGTTCATGATATTTGATCAAAAATGAGTGGGTAACTTTTATTAAGAAGTTATGTGTGCTTAGATAAACAAACATGAACCTCACTAATCCCCCTGGAAATATGGAAGTTTTCTTCACCAAAAACACTTCTACAGAAGTTTTCTGATCAGCATAGGTTAATTTTGTAATTGACGTTCTGTGTATTTTTGTAGAGAATACTTCTTTAGAAGTCTTCCAACTTTTCTTTATTAAGAAAAAAATGAGTAGACTTCCTTGAAAATTTTCTCGGATAAACAAGTTAGTTGCAATTGCCAGATTCGTGTCAGAAATTTGATCTTATATAGTAGACTTCCTTGTAATTCTTCTCAATTGTTACATGACATGAAATCTGTTCACTGTCAGTGGAAGTGCATAGGTTAATTTTGCAATTGACAATTAAAAGTAAAACATTTAGTTTTAATTAGAAGACTTCTTCCATCTCAATTTTTATTTTGAGATTCTGGTCAAACCATTGGTTATTGAAAAAGACTACCACATAAATTTTTCAGCGAGAAGACTTCAACTGAAGTTTTCTCTGAAAATTTAACCTATGCAGACTTCAATCGATTGTGAGAAGACTTCATATAACATTTGAAAAGACTTCTTTGAAATTCTTCCGACTGTAAGAAGTTAAATTTCTGACACAATTTGGTCAATTGCAAAACTAACTTATTTATCCGAGAAGACTTCCAAGAAAGTCTTCTTTTGTATTTTTGAATTTTTTTTACATACAAAACTAAACCAATATTTACAAAGAAAGACTTCTTAAGAAGTCTGCTGTAGAGCAAACTTCTCTGGAAATCTTCTTTTCTAAATTTGCAATTGTAAGACTTGCTTAAATGGAAGACTTCCGTGCAACCTACTTCATGAAGAATTCCGTAGATGTCTTATTGGAGAGGACTCTCATGAAGTCTTCTACTTCATTGTGTAATAAACTTTCATTTTCTCCAAAATTAAAAGGATTTTTCAAAATTTTCTTGTTAATTGATGTATATTAATCAATATGGGCTTCTGAATGAAATTCAGAAGTTAATTGGTGATAATTATGAGGTTACAAACACTCATGTTTATTAATGTTTCTAGTTAATGAGAGAAGACTTAAATGGAATTTTTCTCTCAGAAGACTTAAGTGGTAGTTTTATACGTTCGTTTTTGTTAAATTTGTATTTTCAATAATGTTAAGGAGCTTCAAGATATGTTTTTAACTTTCAAAACTGCTAAGTAACTTCAAGAATGACAATTCATGTGGTTTAATTTGTCTTCTTAGATTATAAGATATACTTTTAACTTTCTTGAGATTTAAAATTTCACTTTATATTTAAAATTTAAATTTTCCGCTTAAATTTCATGTTTCATTTGCGCTAAGTCTTCTGAAAAGTATTCTCTACAGTCTTCTCGGAGAAAATTTAATTTTTTCTGATTATATTTTTAAGGATTTTCTTAAGAAATTTTCTGTTAAAGAAGACTTTCAGTGTAGTATTTGAAAATTCTTTAAGTTAGACTACATATTATTTGATCTTTTGTGAATTTGACTAAATTTTCTTGAGAAGTCTTCTCTCTTAGTTTTAGTATCTTGGTTAAAATGTTTTTGATATGTTGTATCAATAATGTCAAGTACTAATGGAAAAATAATATATATTGTTGACATGACCATATTTACCAAATTCTTTTCATTAACATTTCTTCAACTTTACAAAAGAATTCACAACTTAAAGAATACACATACCAATCATAAAGCAGACCATAAAAAAAATTATAACATATGGAGCTTGAGATCATTCCTCTACATAGATAAGCTTAGACATCACTTAGGTTAGATATTTTCACTTGGCTCAGAATTAGGGAAGTCTTCTGAAAAGTCTTCTGAGAATCTTTCAAAGTCTGGCTCAGATTTAAAAAAAACATTCATATCTAAAAACGTTCAATTGAATGAAAACAAAGAAAAATTTCAAAAATAAATTTAAACAATAAATAAAACAGTAACACTATGTTGAATTTACAACTTTATAGAATCTATCACATAAAACACACAAAAATACATATCCCAAATTTTTAGAATTAGGAGTGAAATATGAGAAACATGTAGTGAAAACTGGCGAAAACAAGATAAATTAGTGAGAATGACATAGGAAAAAATAATAAATTGATATAAAATTTGGTGTTTCCAAATTCAAAGAGATTAGAGGGAGGTTGGAGAGTTTTAGAATGACAAACATTACATTTTTGTGCAGCCATTTGAGAAGAAGAGAGAAAATATGTAAATTTTCTATATATAAGAAGACAAATTCCAATTAGA